CTATCACTATTATCAACTGCTATTCTCCAACATCAGCAGCTGATAATTCGGAACTTCATGCTTTTTATGAGGATTTGGAGGAAGTCATTCGCAAAGAAAACCCCTTACATAAGTTCGTCGTGGGTGACTTCAATGCGAGAATCGGGATGTCAGAAGAAGGGGAGCACCGGATTGGGAGATTTGGATCAGGATTCCAGAATGAGAATGGTAACCGTCTTGTTGGGCTCTTATCCACAGCACGACTTTTTCATGGCAACTCATCTTCATAAAGAAAGAAGACCGGTGATGGACATGGGAGTCACCCAACGGTACGACTCATGCGGGAATCGACCAAATTTTCACCAACCGAAGGTGGTGCTCTCTGGACGTCTCAGTGGTACCAACCTTCAATAGTGGCTCAGATCACCGCTTCCTTCCGCAAAAGTGCGATCCAGCCGAAAGCTGGAAAACAAGGTCTACCACTATGTTGGAGGAAGGGGGGAGGCCGTATATGACGGCGTCAGCTTGGAAAAGCTCCTGACCGCTTGTGACTGGCCCATCGAAGGGAACCCGACGAAAGACGACGCCCTGCTTCTTAGAGGACTGAGAGCCTGTGGTGATAGTGTTCATTGCCTCGCACAGGGAAATTAAACGAGTTTCAAAAGCCACCAGGGATCTGCTAGAGAGAGGAGCACTAGGGAGGATCCGACTGCATCACATCCCGAGCGATTGGTAGCCACTACCAGAACAACTTTGCAAGAAGATGTTCAAAAGTACAGTCGAAACTTTTAGAAGCAGCACAAGGAAGGAGAAGTCTAAAGAAGAACCGCATGGACCTTCTCGACTATCGTGTTCCGCTAGCAACGTTACTAAACGAAGGCAGGACTTGCACATCTTCCTGACAAAAGATGGAATCGATCACGATGGGATTCTAAGCCAATCTCTTCCGCTCATCAACACCCCTGTCAAACCCCGTTATTCTCACTGGAGAAATACCACCACGGATTCTTCTTGCTGAATTACGCGCCGCAATTAAGACCATGAAGGCAGCCACGGCCCCGGGACCA